GGGACAGGAGGACTAGGACTAATAGTGAGTTGACCACATACTGTGCTAAAATCAAGGTGTTGGCCAACAGTGCTCTTTTCTGAAGGTTCTAAGAGAGATTTGTTTTCTTACTTTGTTCACCTCCAAAAGGTGCCCACACACATTGGTTTGTGGCTCCACTCCTTTTCAAAGCCAGCAGCCTGGTAGAGTCTTTCTCACGTTGCATTCCTTGCCTCCTTTTAGCACTTTTAAGAACTCCTTTGATGCACTGTTGGTGGGAGTGCAAACTGGTCCAAGCACTGTGGAGAGCTGTGTGGAAATTTCTGGACCTACTAAACATAGAGCTTCCATATGATCCAGCAATTCCACTCCTAGGTATTTACCCAAAGGACACAGAAACATCAATTCCAAAGAACACCTGCACCCCTATGTTTACAGCAGCACTGTTTACAATAGCTAAGCTTTGGAAACAACCCAAATGCCCAAAAATAGATGACTGGATCAAGAAGATGTGGTACATATATACCATGGAATATTACTCAGCATTCAAAAAAGATAAACACATGCAATTTGCAGCAACATGGATGGCGCTGGAAGGGATCATGCTCAGCGAAATAAGCCAAAAAGAAAAAGAAAAATACCGGATGGTCTCACTCATAGCAGGAATCTAGAAAACTTAAATAAGGGACCAGGAAAAGGAGTAACTATAAGAAAGTGAAAATCAAAATCAACAAAAAACTATGAACCAGAGACACTTTTAGGGGGCGGGGGCGGGAGGGGAGGGATTGGGGTCAGAATGGGGGGGCTGCAATTGTATGGGGAATATAAAAATAAAATTTATTATTAAAAAAAAAAAAAGAACTCCTTTGACTATAACAGGTTTACCCACATAATCCAGAAAGATCAGCAAACTGAATTCTATCTGCAACTTTAAATTCACTTTGTCATGTAACTTTACATATTCACAAATCCCAGAGCTTAGGACAAGGATATCTTTGGGGTGCCTTCACTTTCGCCTGTCCTAAGCTCCAAACATGAATATAAAAATAAAAAATTGCTCTATTTTGTTTCCTATAGAAGGTCTTTCATTTGTTGGTTTTACTTTACTTTCTCTTGTCATTGGATGATAGCACATACTTGATGATTAATAGTGGTAAGTCCCTCTTTGGGGTAGAATCATTTTGTAAACATCGTGAATCTCAGGGACTCAGGAACTATGACTGTTGTTTTCTCTTGAGGTGGTCTGGGCAGTTGGTTTCTCAGCACTATGGGGCAGAATTTTTTGAGGGAGAAAGTTGCATTATTCTAGGCCGAGGTGTCCTCTTTTTCAGTCTCCTCCTCTCTCCGGACAGCCAGAAGGGACTTTGGCATTTCTCCGAACATAAGAGATTCTTTCAGTTCTCAGTGTACTAGACTTTCCTTAAGAGACTCTCAAGTAAAAGAAGCAGGTATGAGAGATCAAGTATCAACATTACTGGGTGAAAAGGAAGTTGCTTGTTACTCTACAAGAAGGGTTAGCCATGGCTTCCAGGTAATCTTTTTACATTCCATAACCATGGTCTTCCCAGTTCTTGCAAATATTAACAGCTGACATTTACATAGCACTTACCATGTGGCAGAAGTATTCTAAGTAGTTGACATAGATATATTTTTTGATCGTTTTTCACATTATGTTTACTGAAGAAAGTAGGTTTACATCTTATCTTCTTTGGAGTTAATAGGTTTAAACCTCCATCAATGTATATTTCAAACCTATATTTGGCATATATTAACTTATTTCTCACAACTTTTAATACCTCCCCCTTATAGACAGGTTTACACCTTATAGACAGGAGAGGTTAAATGACATTTCCTGGATTACTCAATGTTTTATTCTGAGCAACAACATCAAAACAAAAACAAGATACGAAGGAGTAGGCAATACCTAGAGAAATTTCCTACAACCACCACTTAATCAACCAGCTTTCACTCATTATTTCCTTCTACAAGCCAAATGACAACCACAAACAAGCAAGAGGAGAGAGTAGGTGAGGACACATGCCTCCAGTCTGAGATTGACTAGTGCCTCTCACTACCACTGATTCCCAGTCAGTAGGTCTGGTGTTGTCTCCTCACAGATGTCTTTGTTCCAGGCCTCACAAGGGTAGAAGTTGCCAAAACTGCCAGGATGCGGTAGTTTTCAGTCTCTCAAGCAGTCACAGGGATCAAGGCTTGGCTTGGTGGGCTAGCTGCATTTTCTGAATGGGGAGGCTGAGCACTTTGTGTGCTCACAATCTATTGGTTTGCAGTTGTATCTGCCTTATTCTGACTGGTTATCACCATAGTTACATAAGCCATTATATTGTTACATTGTTGGCTGGTTATGCCATTCCTTATTGATATATTTCAGAACTTTTGGGAGCTTCCTCTGTTATAATATGGTTAGTGTGATAGAAATTGTTAGCATTGTTGCCTCACATGCTTTACATGAAAATATTCTCTTGGGTATTTGGGTGGAATGCCAGTTAAAAATTTCTCTTAGCTTAGTAATATCTTCAAAGAGAAGTCTGGGCCCATGACCACTTAGACATGATTTTGTGAAAATTCTTTTGAAAATGATGTTATGTAGCCATGATCAACAATAATTCTTGAAGATGGACAGGACTTGTATAGAAACCTGAATTTTCAGATGAGAAATTAATTAGACCTATTCTTTTTTTGCTTAAGACTCTTGCTATATGTAAAATGGTATATATTTTGTCCCAGTCACTATCATTGTCATAACATTGTGAGGAGATAGCTATCAAAAGTAGTATGTTACACTTATGTATCCTACTTAAAAGAATGAAACTAACACAGAGGGCTTAGAAAAGATCTTGGTCATTAATCCTCAGGATAATGCTACAATGTAAGAATTTTAAGTGACAGAGCTGATACATTGCTATCAAGATTAGTCAAGGAGTAATAGTTTGTGATGTGATTCAATCCCAGGTTTGATTGACTCTGAGTTTTGCTCTTTATACTACATCCTTTATGGCATTGTGTTTAGTTGCAGAAGATTAGGTAGTGTGATGTGGCTTTCCTGTTTAAAGCTCAACCTTAGTCCGCATAAACATAAATCTTATAAATAGTTAATGTTAAGTACTTTTACTACTTTCCACTGGAGGCAGAAAAAGCAATTTCTAATTGATTGAATGCATTTTAAGACATGGTTTGCCAGCAGCATAGTTCCAGTTTTTTATGTCAACTCAGGTAGGCTGCAGTATCCAGTTTCAGGCAGTTGAATCTTTTTATCTCTATCCAGCAGAAATTTATTTATTTTGTACTGATAAGCAGACACAAAAGATGGATTTTTTAATTAGATTGAAGATTACTACTTCTTCCTGTGATCTATGAGTAACTGGCCATCAGGGGATTGAGTAAAATATTTCTTATGTCTCAAATTCAGGGAGAAAGCCATAGATAAGGAAGCAAAAGGTGAGTTATGGACATTTAATGATTCACCCTTGTTCCTCAAAGCTCTCTATGCTATGCATTGATTTAGTGTTCCAAACCAGGAGAATGTGTGCTGTGGACTCATGTAGTTTTTCTACCCAGGCACACATTTATCACGTGTCTACTGTGACACATGATAAACAGGGCAAATATTTATGAGAAGGATAATGTTAAGAGTTTTCACCTGTAATTTCAGATTAGATGTCACTCATGTGTTTGATCTTGTTGTATTTAGATTTTAGACCTGAATAAACTTACCTACTTATTTAGTTAGGAATATTAATACCACAATAATTATATTAAATAATGCATATGTGAAATGACAATTTATCACCTGTTTTAATATTCCACAATGTGAAATTTCCACTTGACCCATGTACATCTTATTTTTTCTTAGGACACAATCTCCGTCTCTGGTCACTCTGTGGAATAATTATTTTTGCATAAACTTCCACAATGCCCAGTTTACTACTGAACAGAAAGTAGGAAATGGAGACATCAGTGAGATTGTCCCATGTCCCACTGATACATCTCTTTTGATGGTGAACCAAAAAGTAGGCATAGGCAGAGGATAGAGAACAAATAGTTGCTGGAGAATGGTATCTGTAATTGACAGAGAGAATTTAGGTTTTCATCTTAATTTAGGAAGTGTAGGAAGAGGGACAGAAGAAATGGAGAAGAAAGATTCAGCGAAAAATAATTCAAAAGAAAAGAACTAATTCATAATCATTAGATTCAAGCTTAGGGTGAGAAATAAAAACAGAGATAATAGAATTGAAACATAACACTTTTAAAGTTAACAATTTAATTTTAAATTCGATTTTAGAGGGGAAACAGAGTGGTTAAATAGTTTGCCCATATTTACACAACTAGTAACTGGTAGAACTTGAATTCCAATCCTGGCAATTTGAATCATAATTCAAATTGAAAATGAAGCATTAAAAAGTACATAAAGCCAGAAAATCCATAGAGATGGGGCCCAGGAACCAAGGGAGTAAGGGGAAGGGTGGGAAAGATCGCATGACCAAAAAAAAAAAAAAAAAAAATCGTCAATGGGTTAATTGGAGTTAGAGTTTACTAAGGTCAGACAGCTCTTTATTTGTTAGCTTATTTAATCTCCCTAACGGTTTGGGGAGGTGGTACTGCTCCATTTCCAGACAAAGACACTTGATAGACGGTAAACACCGCCTTCTCCTGCACTGTTACACCTCAACGGCAGGCTTTGGAGAAAGACAAGGAAGGAAGCCTGAAGGAGACTTGGCAACAGAACGAAGCAGAGCAAGGGAAGCAGGCTGAAAGAGAAAAGCAGGAAGTTTCCCACTTAGCCAGACGCTGTTGGCAGCTTTCAAATCTTCTCGGCTTGCCCGCCTAGCATCACAAAGCCCGCCCCTCGGTCACAAAGCCACGCCCCCTTCCGTGGCTCTTCTCAGCGCTCTCAATACTTCCCTCCTTTTTGACCCCGCCTACTCCGCCTAGCATCATTTCCTGTGCGCTGGATGCTAATTGGCCCAGCGGTCGGAAGTGAGGGCGGGCGGTGGGGCCGTTGCCGCAGTGACAGTGCTGGGGGAGTCCGAAGATGGCGGCGTCGCGTCGCTCTCAGCATCATCACCACCATCATCAACAACAGCTCCAGCCCGCCCCAGGGGCTTCGGCGCCGCCGCCGCCACCTCCCCCCCCACTCAGCCCCGGTTTGGCCCCGGGGACCACCCCAGCCTCCCCGACGGCGGGTGGCCTGGCCCCCTTCGCCTCCCCGCGGCACGGCCTAGCGCTGCCGGAGGGGGATGGCAGCAGGGATCCGCTCGACAGGCCCCGATCCCCGGACCCGGTTGACAGTACCAGCTGTTGCAGTACCACCAGCACGATCTGTACCGTCGCCGCCGCCCCCGTGGTCCCGGCTGTTTCTACTTCGTCTGCTGTCGGGGTCACTCCAAACCCAGGCTGCGGTGGCAGTAACAATTCACCGTCGTCCTCTTCTTCCCCGACTTCTTCCTCGTCTTCCTCTCCATCCTCCCCTGGATCGAGCTTGGCGGAGAGCCCCGAGGCCGCCGGAGTTAGCAGCACAGCAACACTGGGGCCTGGGACGGCGGGACCTGGGCCAGGGGTCCCAGCAGTGAGCGGGGCCCTACGGGAACTATTGGAGGCCTGTCGCAATGGGGACGTGTCCCGGGTAAAGAGGCTGGTGGACGCGGCAAATGTGAATGCTAAGGACATGGCCGGCCGAAAGTCTTCACCCCTGCACTTCGCTGCAGGTCAGAGACTTTTGAATTGTCTGTTAAGGTTTTGGTGTTGGGAACTGGGGTCCGGGTAGGGAAAGAAGACAAGTTGTGGTCGAGCAAAGTGGGGGCGTGGTTATGACTCCTAGGTACCTCACCCGACGTCGGGAGGTTCCTTTCTTAACCTAGTGCCTGGGTGACGGGGGCGTGGTGGTGGTGGGGGGGATGTGTGAGTCCATTCTTGTTAATGTTTGCACAGTTTTACTTGCACTCATCTCCAACCCCCCTGTTGGCGTAGGCCCTAGATAGGGGTACACTAACTTTTTCAGTTCCGAGAGTGTGAGGAATGAAGTTAGGCTTGGGCAGGCTTAAAGTAGTTTTGTTTGCTTGTTTATTTCGTTTTAAAAGAGTACGTCCCTTGAGCACAGTATAGACCAAAAGTAGTTTAATGTAACTCAACAAGTGTTTAGATCTTTTGTAGTCTTAGTAAGCCAGTGAAAGACTTCAGTGAAGTTTGTGAAACTTTTTTCCTTTCTCAAGGAATCTACAATCAAACTGGGTAGGTCAAAATATGCTTGTGTGAAACAACTGGAGAAGAATATTTGGGTTCACAATGTGATGGTAGAAGAAATGTAGGCTTTGAAGTTTTGGATACTACTAATTGTCTGACAGTTTACTTTGTCTTGGTTGTCTTAGTTTTCTCATGGGCAAAAAATGGTATTCTAATGTTGGGTGAAGATTTAATGAGAAGTATCTTGCACATAAGTTCTCCCCAAAACGGGCTAACATCTTTTTTATTGAGCACGTAATGGACTCTCTTCTTTTAAAAAACACTTCGTATGTATTTTTTTCATTACGTTTGACATATGGCATTGAAAAAACACGCAGTATATTTTTGTAAAGTACTGAGAAATATGAAACAAAAAGGGAGGCCCATAATTTCACCGCCTGGATACCTACTATTGATATTTTAAAACAAAGGTAATAATGTTACATATGTTAGAAACATTACATTAGACATACTTGTATTATATATACATTATCAAATTCAAATAGAACAGAAAAGCGCAAAACGAAAAAGCACTAACACAAACATGGAAGATAATATGATAAAGATACTGTCTGACGTTTGCTGTATTTGTAATATATATCATTACTTCAGTTTTGTTTAAAATGAAGCATGTTAAGAACTTATTCTATGTATTGTTTCATCAGAACTTGGAAGATACTGTTATCCTCATTTTGCAGATGACAAAATTTAATAAGTCTAAATTCACACAAAAAGTAGTGAAACCTGGATTTGTACTCAAGACAGTTTGATTTTAGAACTTGTAAAATCCAGTTATCATAATGTACACCTAGGTTAAAGTTCCTTTTCATTTTTGTGAGGATGTTGGTTTCTATTTTGGGGGAAGAAGTAATTAGGAGTATTGGCTCCAAGAGTAGTTTGCACATTTTCTCTTGTAGTCTATACTTAGAGTCAGAGTCTCTCTCTCTCTCTCTCTCTGTCTGTAGCTCTGTCACTCTCTCTCTCTCTCTCTCTCTCTCTCTCTCTCTCTCACACACACACACACACACACACACACACACACTGAATCAAAAGTTTTTAGAAAACAGTCCTTCCCTTACTACATGTTTGTACTCTATTTTATTCATTTCATTTTTACAAATGCAATTTGGGACCCATTAGTGGTCATGACTAGAATATTAAAACACTGGAAATCAATATTAGGTCACTTGCTCCATTCTTGATATATAGGCCATTATGCACATAGTGAATTAAGTTATAAACAGCCTTCCATCAAACTAGATGTTTGCTGAAGGGTGTTGCTTATTTTATTTTTTTTTTTTGGTGTTGCTTATTTTAGATAAAATAATCCTTTTCTTTAGACAAAATGAAAGTTCTACATCAGATATAAATCAACTGGAATTGTTACTTTTACATACTTTATTTCAAACTTGACTATTTGAACACATTTCACAAATCTTGGCCTTTGCCTTACAGCATTAAATTTCTAATAGATGATAGTTACATTTATTTGTGTAATAATGAATTATTTAGGATCAGTCGTGTATAAAATAGTGCTTGTCTTTCAAATCACTTCTCTCTGTCACCGTATTTTACATTCTAATTTAGAGTTTCATGTGTACCCAGATACACTAGGATACACACAGTAAAATAGTCCTCTAATTATGTTCTAGTTATGTGAACCTAACCTTGATCTGCTATTTTTGGAAAAAACTTTTTTGGTTCTGTTGTGGATAAAAAACAAAACAATAACAGACTCTCCGTGGTATAAAAACAGAACTTGTAGTTAGGTTACCATACTTTCATGTTTGTATACATAGCTTAAAGAATTGTACTCTCGTTTTCTCATTGTATATAGCCTGAGTACTTAAAAAGTAATTCTCAGTTGACTATTTGTTGATTAGAACGCTAGTCATTGAATTGTCATGGAATAGCTGTTTTAACGATAGAATATTGATGGCATCCTTTGGGTGGAAAACATTTTTAATTGACATTCATTTGTTCCACAAGTATTTTATTAGTTATCATGTTCAGGTGTTAAATAGAGACACAGTTTTGTAGTGGCATCTAGTATTTACCCTTATGGAGCTTACAAGTTAAAGCTTTTACAGGTTAAAGTGGAGAAGATTAAACAACAGTAAAAAAAAAAAAAACCTTCACAAAGTATGTCGCCTAGAGTAAGAAAAATACAGTATACTGTCTGTTGGAGCAAGTAATAGGGGCTTTTGTTTTTTAGACTAGATTCAAAGGATGAGTCTAGACTCGCCAAGCAAACGTTGGAAGGAAGAATGCCTTTATTTCCATTTAAAATTTAAAAAAAATTATTGTTTGCAGTTCTGTAGAAAGAAATGAAACCATTTTTTAAAGATCTCAGAAGTGGTATGAGGCCATATTTAAGTCTTTTTGACTTTTTAAATCTTACCATAAGAGTAACCATAATTCTTTCCAGCAGCAGAATTACGAATCCTTTGTATCCCATCTTGGACTGTGACATTTGTTTAAAATATGGCTTAGAGATTGAATTAACAATGCAATCATCCTGTCCACAATTAGAAACATAATCTTCAGTTTCCATTGTTGATACAGGTTCTCAGAATACTATTTCTGACTTCTTAAGATAGTCATATCAGAGTCTTTCCCAGTCATGATCCAGTCTTTTATTGTTGACTAGAGTTTATATAAGACTTTCTCTGCAGATAAGATCTTTGAACCTGGTTTTCTATTGTTCAAAGGACAGCAGTCAAATAATAGAAATAATATTAATTTAGAGTGATATTATCTTAGTATAGTTACTAACAGTGACATTTTTATTGAAGGACTAGTGTAGTGAGATTTATTTTTGAAGTTCAGATGAGGTTTTTTAACAAAAGACTTTAGTTAACAAAGCATTGAATTCTGAGATTTCGTTTAGTATCTGCTTCATTGAGGACATTTTGAAATAAGCTTCCTAGTAATTGATTAGCATGTGTCTTGAATTAAGATTTACAATGTGAAGTATTTCAGTATTAAAACTAGCAAAATACGGATGGCAGTTTTATGCTTCCTTTTCATTTGGATGGTCTCTGCAACACACATTTGATCAAATAGAAGTCTTGCTTGTTCTTGTTTCTCTTGATTTTTTAGCATGACTAACCTGCTTGTCATTTTTTCTCCTACACCACCGTGCAAATGTAGTTTCTGTGAAAAATGCTATGCCTTCTAAACTGTTGCCCACCAGCATAAGCTGTTCTTTAACTTCGTTGTTGTTCATTATCAGAGGATTTAGTCACTACATACTCACTCTCATAAACTTTATTTAGTTTCAGTTGATGTATGGGATAGATAGTTCTCAAAATGGCTTTCAAATATTCCTCCCCTCCGTGTGTATGTATATCCATACACATGTGTATCCATGTGTATCCACCACTTATCAAAAGGTAGTGTCTCTTTCCTTCCTGTAGGGTAAGGAAAAAATGTCAGGCTTTTCTGCCCTCGCGCCATCAGGATAGATGATGGATCGTTGCGGTCCTGAATGCATGCCTGATGGGGGACACCTGGAATAGGGTGTGGGCATAGGTAGATGGGATTCACCTAGGCTAAGACTGGCCTTTTAAGGGCAGCATCCCAAGGACGCCAGCAGAAGCCGAGAAAGAAGTAGCAGAAGCCGAGAGAGAAGCAGAGAAGGCCGGAGAGCCCAGATAGAGTGAAGACTTGCTGGGGGCTGGGAGGCCTGCCAGCCTCCCGACCCCCCAGCACCCTTGCCTGCTGTGTACTGGGTAAATCCCAATGAAAGACCTGCAAAAACTACTGAGGACTCTGACTCTTCCTTTATCCGGTCTGCATGGGATCAGAAAACCTGGTCAGTGGTCATTCCTGACCCTACACTTCCCTTGTTTTTAAGTTGGTCTGGTGATTTACTAGAATGAGTGGAGTGTGGCAGTGTGTAACACTGGGGCCCTCAGAGATCTGAAATTTTCACTTTCCTGTGTTGAGAATTTTTCCTCTTGGAACCCAGCACCATGCTTTTGAGAAAGACCAAGAAGGGAAGATAAGGCTGATCAACAGTCCTCACCGAAGCTCTCAGCCAATACCTGCTTCAGCTGAGTGAATGAACTTTGAATATTCTGGCCTCATGAGGCCTCCAGATGACTAAGCTTAGTTAATGCACAGTATCACCAGAAATAAATGGTTGTTTTTATTTGAAGCCATTGCATTTTAGGATAGTTTGTTATATAGCGGTAGATACCTGAAATTGTTATGTATAGTCACAACTCTTTGTGTTGTAAATGCTTGGCACTAGTCCTTACATTGTTGCTTCTCTAGGTTATTTTGGTGGTCACTTGATCTCTTAGAATTTATTGAGGTTGGTGTCTTGGAAACTACTATTCCCAGAACCCTTTTCTAATGTTGTCATGTTAGAGTTTTTGCTTTATTCTTGGAAGTCAGCTTTGCTGGATGTAAAAATCTTTGGTTCTCATATTCTTTCTTGAGTGTTTACAAAGTTATTTCATTTTCTTCTGGTGAAAAC